TTCCATCAACCATGCAGTGGCGATCGCAGGAGCTCCTTCCGGGAGATCGAGGGGAAGGGCACAATTTCATCAGAATCAAACGCATTCCAAAAATTTTTTTTGGGGTGCTTCTCAGATTTTTTGCTGGTCCATAACCCCTGGCGGCAGCCACGCCCCAAAAAAATTTTTTTTACAATGCTAATTTGAATTTGAAGAAAATTTAAGGAAATATCAGGTTGTCCCAAAAGTTCTGTCGGTTTTTTCCCTCGCTCACTAAAGCCAACAGAACACCAACTCAAGGAAGGTCTAGGTGTAATTTAATTTAGATTTTCATCCTCTTTCTTACAGCTATATTTCTTCTCTGCTCTACCCTGTCTTAGCAATGTTAGCTTTTTGAGCAGCTCAGCAGTAACGCCAAATATTTTCTGAATTTTAACAATTTTTCTCCTACTACTTTCAAAAAACGCTAATGACTGTTATGTAGAGCCATTCTTCAGCTACATTATACTTATTTTAGATTACATGGGTCACGTTTATCAATTCCCAAATAATTATTTATTTAAGGAAAACTACGGCTTTTTGATTACGTCTACCATGTAAAATTACCGAAAATTTCAAAAGCTGATTTTTTAAAGCAAATTTAAGTTGGTATGTTGCTAAATAATGTTTATTAGCAATCAAGTTTCAATTCGCAAAAATTCCAAGCTTTCACGTTTTAGCCGCAGTTGCGTGTTCCATGGTTTTGTCAGAAATCGAGACCTCCGAAAAAATAATTCTCTAAAGCTAGAAACAGCAATTTATGAGAATTTAAAAATATTACCGTATAGCCCGAGAATTGTTCTATTTGCGCCATGCTTACTCCTTTCCAAAACTTTGGAATGAAATTTTTAAAAATTAGCCTAACTTTGAGCAGATAAAAATGGCGAGTGAAGATTTGCGGCAATCATCAAAATAACCATACAGGATCTTGGCTCTTAAATGTAGCCATAAGAAAGAGAAGGAAAAGTTGCATCTAATGCATGTTGAAACTCATTCAGGTCTTCGTTGTGCATGGTTTTATAATGGTTTGAAAAAACCGACAAAACTTTCGGGACAACCTATTATTTCGATTGTTTACAAGAATAAACAAGTTACTTGCACATTTTTGTAACCGATGTAAGCAGATTTCAACAATTTCGCACCCAATCTTGGGAGGGGGGGGGGGGGTCTCGGTCCACCACTCCTGTCATGGTGTGTGGACCTCAGCTATGACCTGCGTTGGTCAGGTTCGATCTGGCAAGGTTCGCCATGTTATTCGCGGAAACCCCGATCTCAGCAGATCGCCCACCGCTGCTCGTTCAGGTCATGCCAACCAACCTCTCATAAATCACGGGCTGGACGTTCTCGCCTGTCCGAGCCTGTATAACGGTGATATGCGCCTGAATAGCGAGCGGAAGATTGATAAATACCGCCCTAGATTTGTCCTTAACAACGCAGTAACATGTCTGACGTATCTGCAGAATTTCATAACCCTTCTAATTGACTTGCTTGTGAATTCAAAGATTTCTCTGAAACTGGATCGCTCTTGGTTTGAGAGAAGTCAATTAAGTGGATGCGTAACGGTTATGGGTAGGCACAAGGTTTAGCAAAAAGAAGAAAACTTGCCAAACGAAAAGCGTATGCAAGAAGCATAAATTAACCGTTAGTTTTTTATGATAAAAGAAAAGCATTGCAAATATATTACATGCGTAAATAATCGCAATAGATTGGGTCGTTTCATAAGTATGTAATACAGAATTTTGTCAAAAGTTAGTCAAAATGTGTGTTTTGTTGCGCACAACTTTCTGCCACCTTGCCATCACATTTTCTGTCAAGTTATTTGCAAAAACTGAGGGAGTCTTGTTCCAGAAAGTGGTCTAACTAGCGCTTCAGATCGCCCTCAGAATCGAAGCAAAAGCTTTTATATGATTTGCGACATTCCAGGGCAGACGACAGTTTTCCAAAGCGAGATCTCAGTAGCACATTGAATGCTAGTGTACAATACCGCTCTCAGAACGTGCAAAATTTCCGTGAATGTCGCGGAAACCCCGGAATTCCGCGAAGGACCGCGAAATTTCCGGAATTTCGCGACATTTTCGGAATTTCGCGACATTCCGGGAATTTCGCGGAATTTTCGGAATATCGCCATAACTTCCTTCGGAATGCATAAATTCTGGATCTGAAACAAGGGTTATACTCAGCTCATTAAGGCGAATCTTTTGGTACCTTGCCTTACCGTAATTGTCGGGGCACGATTGGTGCACGGTCTGAGATGAATTTTGCATTTTGGGAGAGAGGACGTGGATGTACGGCAGCAAGTGAATCCTTTTGCGATTTTTCTGAAATTCTAGGGAGGGGGGGGGGAGTAATCAGTGGTATTGGGTGTGGTTAGTTCTAAAATATGCGAACATGCCGTGATGATGCCGTCGATGTTGTTTTTCCCCTCTTCTGTTTATTTAGTAGCTCCAAGCACCAATTTATTACTAGAAGGGGTGGATTCGAGTACAGGACACGAATATGGTGTTCACCTCCCCTCTCCCAAAATGCAAAATTCATCTCAGACCGTGCACCAATCGTGCCCCGATAATTACGGTAAGGCAAGGTACCAAAAGATTCGCCTTAATGAGCTGAGTATAACCCTTGTTTCAGATCCAGAATTTATGCATTCCGAAGGAAGTTATGGCGATATTCCGAAAATTCCGCGAAATTCCCGGAATGTCGCGAAATTCCGAAAATGTCGCGATATTCCGAAAATTTCGCGACATTCCCGGAATGTCGCGAAATTCCGGAAATGTCGCGAAATTCCGAAAATTTCGCGGTCCTTCGCGGAATTCCGGGGTTTCCGCGACATTCACGGAAATTTTGCACGTTCTGAGAGCGGTATTGTACTTTCTGTTCCTGCAGGATAGTTTCGACAACGTTTTCCGTACGGAGCTATGTTTTGTCGTGCAGGAATAACCACTGGACCTGTCCATCTGGCCTATTCTGCAGTATAGGTCCATCCAGACAGTGCCGTTGAATTGCGTAGGATGTGGTCGACCGTTTTTTTCTTTCTTGTCCATCAATTTTCAATGCAGGACTTCCCGTCCGTCTCATCAAAAGTCTTATTCATGGGACACTCTGTTTGATCCTTGGCCTTTTGAAGCAATCTAGTCCTTTTATATATCAAATCGAAGTGCAAGCGCCATTTTCCATAATCGACATTTTATAAGAGAAAATGAGCAGATGTCGAAAATCCTCGTTTTTGGTTCTTGAGACTTCCATTTTTGGGAAATGAAAATTCAAAGTAGACCAACTTTTCATGGATTGCAATAAGTTCACTCACAAGCTGTTCTCAATGACATGCGCATCTTGCCGCAAACTGACCGCTTTTCAAAGAAATGAGGAGGAGAATGAAGCTCCAAATGAATGAACGACATAATACTACAATATTCATGACTACACCGTATGGGTCAATGTAATGCTCAGTATAGGCTGATCAGTTCAAGAGAATACAGGGTGTCCCCAAAAGTAAGTACACTTTTTGATTGTTGAAAATTCTCTTCCCACTAAGCCTTTTCCTTAGTTCCAGGTACCATTCAGTAGAAGAAGCTTCAACTTGGATTTACAGTACGGAGCAAATCACCTAACTCTTCTTTAGTGTGAGATTACGAACTAGAAACTAGTAGAGGGTTAAGTAGGAACTTAGAAGAGGGTTTTGTGCCATTAGTGGCTGCATATTGTCCCAACATGGATATTCAACGAGCCGAAAATCTTATCATTGGGCTAAACTGAGTTTTATTAGTACGTCGAACTTTGCATCAATACTTTTTTCATAGATTATGGGAAGTAAATCGCAACAACGTTTTTTCGGTGTTATTCAACAAGGGGTCAAATAGCTTATAAAGTTGTCCTTTGAAATTAGCATGTCTGAAAACAGTGCTACACAATTTTCCAGATTTTTCTATGATTTTTTTATTAAACGGCCTATATCATACTGGCACTGTATCATGGAAATTTCTACCGTAATCCTACAGTAACGAAAAGCGATGGGTGATTCGCTCCACACCGCAAATCAGTCAAAGTCTGCTCTACTGAACGGTTTTTGAAGCTAAGCAGAAAAGAGAGTTATTAACGATTAAAACGTCTGTTCTTACTTTTGGGACCTGTATATATCCTGTATATAACATTTTGATTACATCTGCAACCAGATACCAGTTTGAGGGAATCTAATCTGAGTTTTATGACTGAAAAACACCATATCAGTTGTCATCCTTTCGTGCCTATGAGATTTCAAAAGTTGACAAACAGCTCTAAAGCGATATATATCTTTGGAAATTGGTAAATCTGAAATCCAAAGGCATTCCTCATGAGAGTTCATTCTATACAGTAACTTTTCTAGGAGAAAGATTCTGTCCAAAGCTTTATTGGACCTTTTAGAGAATTTGTATTGTCATTTATACAACCGTGACGACAGATTTTACTATGGACTTTGCGCCCACAGGAGCATAAAACGCTCATACAAGAAGACATCACCTCAACGTTCAGCTCAGTCACTTCCAATGTCTAAATACTGTCGTACGTAAGCAAAGAACCATTCGACTAGAAATGAAAACCAAGAAAATGCGATTTCTGAAAGTGGCGTGCGTGTCTCGCGCGGTCGTATCGTCACGATTTTTCAAATGCCCTATACATCCAAGCAACCTGTTAGAGAATTTGTGCATTCAAGCAATTTCGTATTGTCTTGTAAACCTCCACATCTTACATAAATCATCGTAACTTTTTGAACGCTTTGGAGAATCCTCTTTCGGATTTTGAGCTATATGACTTCGGGTAACGATGAAACAACAAGAATTCTTAACCATCGCTTTATTCTGTCGTACTTTAACGTTTATTCTGACGTACATTAACGTAACGTTTATCTCTACAAGTTTATCACTTCTTTTTTGTCTTCTTCTTTCGTATGCTCTTCACATCAAAATGAATTAAGATCAATCATGTTACAGTAAGGTTAGGTAACTCACATCCTCGCTCGTGCTCTTCTTTTTTGTTCGTTTACTTCTGTCAAGTTTTGAGTCACTGGAGGAAGTAGAAGCTTCACTGTTCGTAGTCAGACTTGATGATGTGCTTTCGGTTTTCGTCATTTTGCAAACACCCAATCCAGAATATAAAAAAGGCACAGTTTCAATAACGTCGGGTTCATGCCTAATTTCATGCAGATCTTGTTGTGTTTACTTTGCTTTTGTGGTGATATATTACCTCGAGTAGTTACTTGCGCTTATAGGTTCATCAATGAGAAGTTGGTGGATTTCTTCGGGCTAGAAACAACTGATATCATGTTGAATCTTCACCTCCTTGCATTTACCTTATTCTCAGCATATTTGTCTATATCGTCAAGTGTTGAAATTATTGATCGCATCGTATTACTGAGTAATAATTCGTCACTAAAGTGTGAATTATCTCGACTTTTCATTTCTTCTAATTCTAACTCGAATGCGTCCATACGCGATCTGAAGCTGATTTCCTCAAACTTGCATCATGCACATACATGGCTTATCAATTGCAGAGTCGGATGCACCTACATCTCCGCTCCCTAGTGGCCGCCTCGCCTGGACTCTGCACCTCTCTCGCGAAGATACTCTCTCATCAATTTTCTACCACGAGGTGGGAGGCGGAGCATCGCTAGTCAAGCGTGTAAAAATGATTAGAGGGCATATTCGCCAGAGTCCAGGCGAGGCGACCACGCGGGAGCGGAGATATGCGGCACCCGACTCTGCAATTGATAAGCCCTTTAAAGGAAGCATTTGAGTGACTGCTAATACTAATTCGGATTCGTTGATTGAAAATCGAAGTGAATCATAGTTACTCAATCTCTAAATGGCTGCTTGATTGCCCAGCTTCAGAATTCCCCTATATATAGCTGAATAACAGTTTGCCTGTAGTACTATCTGTCTCTACGTATATTTCTGATGAAAATCTACTTCGAAGAGGAGCGGGCGTCATAGGCTACTTTCCTTCATCGATCCATATCGATTTTGTCAATTTTTTTCAAAGTGAAGTGGTTGGAGTTGGCCAGGGGGAGGGGTAAGTGAGCATTGGTTACGACTACGTCATTGGTTATCAGAGTTGTCGTTCGTATTGTCAACTAGTTGGCTTCCCCGGCTCCGCACGGCTCTGTCAAAACATTATGTTAAAGTTCCCATCCCTAAACGTACAATTTTTCCATCCTACATGTCAATTCCCTATCCCCGCTGTGTTCGTAATCAGCACGCTCATATACCCCCCCCCCCTGGCCAACTCCTAGCTCCGTAGCTTGAACTTTGCAATAAATTGATAAAAATCGATAAATCTCATAGGTAACGGAAACTAGCCTTCAACACGCTCCACGTCCCGAAGTGTATGGGAGCCAAGTTTGGTCCAAATCGGTTCAGAAATAAGAATTTTTCCGCATATACGTACACACAGACAGACATTGAGCTTTATATATAAGAATTTTGCAAGATTTTGCACTGAGAGTGAGGAGAGGTTGGGGGGGGGGGGGGGGAGATAAGTGAGCACGCTGATTACGAATACAATGTTAGCTCAGGATTATTGGTCACCTATGTCGTTGATTTTTTGTAAACTTTACTTGCGGAGCTGGGAGTTGGCACAGCGGCGGGGGGAGGTATTGATCATGCTAACAAGGGAATGGTCAGAAATCGAAGTGGCCATTCCAGACAAGCTGCATACCTTTAGATGCAGCATGAAGCGCTGACTCTAAATTTGTCTTCGTTATCTGCTTATAGCTTTTCTCGACGAAGCTATAAGCCATTACTTTGCTGAGAAATTATGCGTGAAATTGGAAATTTAGCCGTACAGAGCGACGTTCGCCTCAATGCTGGGCCAAAACATGCCGCTAGCTTACTTAAAATTTTTGAAGCCAGAAGCTGAGCTAAAAGCGCAACAATGTGCTCAACTTCGATGTTTTTATGTACGATTTTTTCACAATAAAACCGCTTGTAGCTTCGTCCACAGAAGCGGGAAGCAGATAAGGAAGACAGATTCGAAGTCAGCGTTTTATACTGCATCGAATGATATACAGCTTCTCTGGTTTGGCCACTTCGACTTCTGACCATTCCCTTGTAAGCAGAATACGTATGTAGTGGGGGGGGGAGGGTACTGGCATATAGAGGTGGGAACCGAACAAGGAGTTGTACGGAATTAAGGCATGGAAATATCAGGTCGGTCCGAAAATTCGTACCATTTCAGACCTATCCTCAAATTGCTCAAAATACTGATAGACAAACGCTTCGCTTTTCCTTTTTTCCAGGAACAATGTTTCGATGCTACCACAATTCAAATTTGGGCATCACTCCATACAACATAGCTCTTGAAGACTATAGGGTCAAAGTTATTATAACATTGGTTTTTAACGCATCATAAGGTGCACGCGGAAAATTCGAATTGCTTAGAGCTGTAAACGCTCTCTTGCTTGGTGAAATTAGTGTTCAACCATGATCAGTTTTGGTTAGATTCAAATCCTTATCAGCGTTTGAATTAAATTGTGTATCTTACGACCTCGCGAAAATGAGACCATCGAAAAATACTAACAATCCGGTTAAAGGTGCCCAGATAATTCGCTGTATTGCATTTTGTTTACTCTATCCAACTGTTATCGATGCTCTTCTATTAGCCTTGATGATCTTGATGAAGCTCCTAAGAAGTACCTAAAGTTAGGCTAGGGTAATCTTTGAATTGGGGATTTGGACGATTATTCGAACATTTTTCAAATTACTTGGAAACATTGTTGCTAGAAAGAGGAAGAAATTCTGCATCGATTACTATTTAGAGAATTTGTACATTATTATCTCTTTTGATTGAGGATAGGTCTGAAAATGGCACGAACCTTTCGGCAACCTAATATAATATTTACCAAAGTATAGTAATGACAGGGCCGGGCAAAGCCTGGTAGTCAGCTAGTGCCCTGTAAATTTTGCAAATAGCTGATTTCTCTCATAGATAGGATTTCCTAAGATTTCGGCCATTGTAAAAAAATTTCTGTTAAAAAATTTGAGGAATACTCGTAAATTTTTTCTGGAAACTTGCACATGATTAGAATAATTTGAAGCTTTCAAGCTTATGTTAATCTTACGGTGCTGGTACTGGATCCTTTAGCACTAATTTCTTATCGGCCAACATTAGTATCAAACTCGACATTGGTATTCTCGCTATATTGGGAACTTCAGACAAGTACTTTTTGTCTTTCCAAAACGGCAGTCCTTTCTGAAATTTAACGATGAGTATATTTTTGAGCAAAACATGGCTTAATGCTTCACATCGTTAAATAATTTGCCGTTGTTGTCGTTATTTGGAATGAGTTCCAAATCCGAACGATGAGTCCTGTCGCTATAGTAAACCTCATCCTCATCTTCTTCTGGGTTGTCTTCTAATGTGGTTTGCGTGCTGGAAATATCAATGAGAAAAAGTGGATGCTGCTTGTGATGCTCCTTACTTTCCCAAGTAAGTGTCCTGGTACGTATACGTCGCAGTCTGAATAAAGAATTACAACTAATGAGTTTGCTTGAAACTTATTCTGTTCCGATTGAAATGAGTTTGAAATTTTCACAGTTTATAAAACCCTATCTCTAGGTCTCCATTTCCGATTGTCCTTTAGATGTAGAGGGCAGCTTGGAGTGAGGAATCCATGCCGTTCAGAATAGTTTTTTTAGGAAAAAACCCCTCTGTTATTTTGTTTTAAGAAAGATTCAAATCGTCCGTTGAAGGGGAGATCTGCTACAACTGTACTTATAAAGGTATATAAGCTATCATTAGATGCCAGCCTAATGAATATGTACGAACTCACCCGTGCAGGTTTACTTATTTTAGCTTTTGCAGTTTGAAACGATTTTTCGAGTGAGGATCTGCTGAAGGCACTGAATGCTGATTTCAGTCCTCTCTTGATTCGCTCTGCAAAAACTCATCTTGATTTTCGCAAGCTACCTACCTTTCAATGGCTTTTCCGATCCCAGATTGTTATTTAGTTAAAAACTGCTTGAAGTTTTACCTCTAATTGAATTTTGATCACTTCCTTGGTCCTTTTGTTTTGCTCTCAGTGACGGAGCGCTTCTCGTAAGCCGTTCTGAACAGGGGCTGTTGTCACTCCCAATGATCAAAAAAGCAAAGCAAGCAATGAGAACATGCTTCTGAATTGTCTGAAGCTGGATTCCTCCTTGACAATCGCTCCCATGGGCTTTCCTCTTGATAATCTCGCTAAAAATTGCATATGAAATTTGAAAGGTCCAACCTTTTTCTCACAAATTTATCTCCATATCTATTGAGTTTAAAATTCCTATAAACATTAGCACTACAAAGTTTTTCCGTTCTTTCAGAAATATGAGTGCGGGATTTATCAAGCACTTTTGACAACAACTTTGTTATTAGGTTCAACATGCCTCAGATCTGGTGACACTTGATTACCCTAAAATCCGTACAATAAGTCCGAACTTATCTGCAGTTTCGACGCAAAATCGATGAAAAAACGCCCTTTGCGCCGCCAAAAGTCTACCAGATAAGTCCTCCTAAATCCACTATCAGATAAGTCCGCAGCAGATAAGTTCGCCTATCCTGAGCATGAGAAAGCGGACTTATCTGCAGGACTCTTGGCGGCGCGAGGCGACTTCCATTGTCAACGAAGCGGACTTAACTGTTAGTTCCTTTGCGGACTTATCTGATAGGCGGACTTATTGTACGGATTTTAGGGTAGTAGTAAGGCGCAACTACAGCAAAGGGCACCGCGCAAAGGGTGTGTTATGATCGTCATATATAAAACAGAAAGTTGAAGCTTGCTTCTTAGATACGTGGTTAAGAGAATTGTTTACGCGCGAACTGATGGAGCTGTAATTTGCTTTCATTTATATGCATTAGGCCGCTGCAAAAAACATAAACTATTTTTCGCGGCGATTTTCTAAGTCCTTCTCTATCGATTTGTTTGCACATTTGAGGAAATGAAAGCCTGTCATGCCCTAACCAATCATTTTCCCATATTCATGTAAACAGGGGCGATGAGGTGGAGGACAAGTCCATCTTATTGCAAGGACTACACTACTATACGCGTTGTAGAGACTAAACACTTTGAAGTCGGAGGACGAGGAGACGCACAGGTGCAGAATGAAGAAAAAGGTCTTGCTGAGTGATTATACCTTTTGTCGATCCAATCCTTTATCGACGTGAAACCCTATAGATTAGATAGTATCAGACCATACCTAACTAGCGGTGCCGCACTGTTACCGCTTTTACCGTCGTTTATGCGCCATTCTTGATGTAAGCTGCTACTAACAAGGGAAGTCACTTAACTTAGGTCGGGCTTTTGAAATGAGACACATATGGTTGGAATCAGCCTGAAACGCTAATTTAAAATCTGCTTTCCATAGCTGCGAAGCGTTCCTCTGAAGCGAGTTATGAGCTTTTTCCTGAGCAAATTTTGCGTGCTGACCGACTTAGGCATGCTACGGTACCAACATCTAGGTAGTGGTTCAAATGCATATTATACTCTATCCAAGCCAAATGACTCAATTTGATGTTATTTTGATTTTCCACCACTTTTTGGGCAGATTTTCATCTAAAGACCTTCTTTCCATATTCAGTTGTATGTCAATGGCACATACTAAAAAAGTTCATAACTCGCTTCAGAGAAACGCTTCGCAGCTAAGGATAGCATATTTGGAATCAGCGTTCCGAGCTGATTCTAAATATATGTGCCTCATTTCAAAAGCCCGACCTAAGTTAAGTGACTTCCCTTGTAAGCTCAAGACTATATAAACGGCTCACAGATCAAGGTTCCCGAAACAGTCATTAAAATGCAAAAAGGCGAAAGACTGACAAGGAAAGGATACTTGGCCGAAGTTGCCTTTCTACATGAGATGTATAGTATTTTATAGAGCATGGAACGCTGATTCCAAAATCTGCTTTCGTTACCTGCAAAGACCTTCTGAGGGTGAGTTCTGGGAATTTTTTGCGGTGAAAAATAGGTGTTGAGATCTTTCCCTCACCTGAAAGGAGTAATGACTAACATGAGTTCATTACACTGAAGGTCTCTATATCATAAAATGCCCTGGCAGTAATCGTGGCAGCTTGAACTCACGAACTAAGGTTCTGAATAATTTTTTGTAGCAACGCTTCATCTTGCTTCACAAAATTTCCCTAACTAGTTCCTAGAAGCACCTTGCAGGTAGCGAAAGCAGATTCGGAATCAGCGTTCCATGCTCTATAAAATAGTGTACATTTCGAAAGGCCACTTCCCCCCAAGGCCCCAAGTATCCTTCTCTTGTGAGAGGATAGAAGAACAACTGTGGAGCGCTAGCTAACAAGGCCCAAGTGCGTAGGCCGCATTTAGTTTCAAAGTCGAACTCTTTTGTGGAACGTTACAGCTTTGAAGACTGTGCTCAAATAATCGCTGAAGGAGGGGGTCATGCGATTTATGGGCGGTCGGGCACCGGAAAAATAATTCGCTAATTTCTTGCGGTCCGCTTGCAGATATTTGGAAGAATTTTAGCGAAATTTTAGATGAATGCTGTAGAACAATCCCGGTTTCTTTATAGATTAGCTGCGGCGCAGTGGCCGCATTCTCGCGGACTTCCCCGAGATAATGCAAGATTTTTGAGGGCCGCACGGTCCTTTGTGGAGGACCGCGCAGCCCCCATGTACTTTGCGCTGAGAGAAAGTACCTCAAACTTGAGTAATTAAACCAACGGTGACACCTCTGCCACACTGAGTCTTACCTGTGCTCGACGTAAGCCCGAAACTGCGTAAAAAGAGTCCGAGCGCCTGCTGAAAGTTCGGTCAGCGTTTGCTGAAAGAGATTATTTGACGAGCGCCTGCAGAAAATCTGTGTTGCTGTCCGCTGGCAGAACATTAGACAGTAAAAAAGTACCGCTCGCTGAAGCTTTGGCCACGCCCCAAAATTCTGCTAACCGCTTGCAGAAAAGCGCGTGTTTGCGGACTGCCTGTCCCCGACGATTATCTGAGTACGAGGACTCGACTATGTAGCGATACATCTCTGGTTTACGTTGAAACACAGGGGTGCTTTTACGAAGAAAAAATACCTGCAGGGTGTCTACAACCGCTTACTGTGTCTGCAAAAAACTTCTACTTTGTGTAAATGAGTGCTTTTGTAACCGACAGTACGTGGGCATGTTCTTTTAAGCAACTGAGCAAAAAAGTAGACAATGACATCGAGATTCTTGCTGTGCTCTCCCAAAAAATGAAGAATAAAAGAGGGGACATGAAATGTTTCAAATTTGCAATCACAAGGGAATCAAAAAAACGGACTAACAGGAAAAATTAGTATAGTGCGTTGCGCGGTGCCGCAACCTGCTCGCGTCATCACATATCAGCCTGCACGCGATTGGAGGCAGTGGCTCACCAAAATTTGTCGCGGGAGTTTCGCGTTTGCAAGCTTTTCCCGATTTCTTGATACTCACATGTTCACATCCGCATTAAAATTTCAGTAACTCCGTTGTTTGAAGGTCCCATATAAGCGATGCAGAGAACTGTAGTCCTCTACACTACTTTGGCTGCAGATAGGCACACACGTCAAAAAGGAAGAGGACGAGTGAAAAGAAGTATTAACCTGCGGAGGGCAAGTTACCTAGGCGCGCACAGAATTGCCTTTTATGCACCAGTTTGGGTGCAGATTTCTCGTCGTAGAAGGCATCAATGGGATTTTTGCAATGACACAAAAAAGAGATCTTCTAACCAGATTTTGAAACTCATTTGATCGCCGGAAGCAGGCAGCCATGCGATTTATGAGCAGATGGGCACCGGAAAAATAGTTCGCTACTTTCTTGCGGTCCGCTTGCAGACGTTTAAAGGAATTTTGGCGCAATTTTAGACGAATGCTCGGAGAATAATCACGGTTTTTCTACAGATTAGTTGCGGCGCAGTGGCCCATTCTTGGGGACCTTTCGCGAGAATGCAAAATTATCGTGGGGGCCACGGTCCTTTGTGAAAGACCGCACAGCCCGCATATACCTTCCGCTGAGGGAAAGTACTCAAACTCGGGTAATTGAACCATCGATGACACCTCTGCCTCTGTTATGTACAGTGTTACTTTGCTCGGCGTACGCCCGAAACTGCGTAAAGAGTCCGAGCGCTTGGTGAAAGTTTGGCCGGCGCTCGCTGGAAGAGATTAATTGACTAGCGCTTGCAGAAAATTTAATTTTTAAAAATTTAATTTTTAAAATTTAATTTAATTTTATACCGCTCGCTGAACGTTTGGCCACGCCCCAAAATTTTGTGGCCGCTTGCAGAAGCGTGAGTTTGCGGACCGTCTGGTCCCGGCGATTATCTGAGAAGAGCCACTTTCGAAGCTGCAAAGGAAATGCCAAAACTGAAGTATCGCGGTCCTCTACGCATTCGATTAGGGATACCCTCAACACGTCAATGACCAAGTCGTTCGTATTGAATCTCCCCCCCCCCCCCTCCTGAGCCTCCTGAGAAATACGCACTCAAAGTGGCCCGCAGAAGGTGATTTGACCTGCGCTGCCGATTCGCGGGCTTCCAGTTTCGTGCTTTAGCAGGTCCTTCCAGGCGATGCGGCGCAGACTTGAGTGGAAATGCACATTTGTCCAGTTGCCTCCGCAGGGCCTTCGAAAAAAGGGGTTCTTGAAACTCTTATGCTTTGAACCCGCGTAGGGCTGAACAGGACCGGAAAGGCATATAATATGCAAAAATCTCTCCATCGGGGTTTTGGTGAGACACTGCCTTTAACAAAGGGTCCTTTATTCCAAAAAAGTGGATACAATCCTGCCAAAATTCGGAGCGCGGCAAATACCAAGGTAAAAGAAGGTTTAAAAGAAAGCATGAGGTACATTTTGAACACATATTTACATGCACATATACGCCCCTAAAATGCTCTCAGTACAAACGAACAAGCTATCGCTAAACTGACGCACTCCCGAATTAGGGCGGCGTAAACCACATTGGTGCGCACCTGAAGTATGCAGTTCTTGCGGATCTGGAAATTTCTGCACAAATCGACCTACACCCTATTCACTACGCAGCAGCAACTTGGACTTCTCCTCCCTTTGCTGGGGCTCAGGTATCATGAAAATTAGTTTTCGAGCGCAGTAGCTTGGCAAAATAATAGAACCCTGTCAGATTTTGACGTTTGAAATGGGTTTACACTCCAAGTTGGGGTACTTTGAGTCCCACCCTGAAATCATGATCAAATTTGAAGCTTGTTGCAAAGTTCCATAATCGACCCTCACCCACCGAATGGGGGGGGGGGGGGAATCGAAGCACGCTGTCAGGATTTAGCGCATCAAAGGGAAACTTCGGCTAAGGTGTACCCAGTGGTTACCCCACTCAACGCTAAGATCCGACAAAGGTCTTTTTTGCCGAGACGTTGTCTCCAAGATGGCTACGCATGCGAATGTTTAGTACGAAGCCCTCGCATGAAATAGTATTAAATTAGTGTAACGGAAGTGGGGGGGGGGCATGGTGCCCTTCCCCCCCCCCCCCCCCCTCCCCCAATCACTCCTTCAATTTTTGGTCTGATTTGATTCGGTTGTGGGATTTCCAAGTTTGTGTTGGGTCTCTTATCAGCCCGCTACTTTTCATGCATTCTTCTAATAAAACTTATTAGTTATTATTTTCAAAAGTGCAAACCCAGAAGGCAACAGTCATTTATACAGTCTGATCGTGTACTATTGCCGAGGGAAATTCAAATTCTATACTACTTTAGGGAATCTATAAGCACTTCACTGTTTGAAAAATTTAGGAAGAACCAACTCACATCTGAGCGAGATATGTAAGGTAGCCTTCGGTTCCTGTGATGTGTCTGATTCAGGGAGTTTACTCTTTGATGGTTTGGCTGAAATGTTGCGCATACCTTATAGGCTAGAATAATACTCTATAATGCAGAGGAAATGCTTGAAACTGAGAGCTGAAAAATTATAGTCCCTTAAGATCTTGAAAACCTCAAATTTGGAAGCAAGACAAATACAGTCGTTCAAAGCAAGCAAGGAACTCAACACAAATATTCTAGTTGAACAAATACAAGGCAATGCTTATTCGCCTTTCAATACAAGCAGGGCAACCGCTTTGTGCCTCGCGAAACGATCGCTATGCCGCACGATTTCCCTAGGTAATGCGCAGCACTGTAGAGGGTACTTGGGCGGCCAAACCTCTAGGCTCATTCCTGCGCCCTGTACTCGTGAAACTGCGGTATGTATACTATTTTCGAATCGCACATATCTATAGTGGAAATTTACAACGGCTCCGAGGTTTTTGTCAACTGGATTCGTGTCTAAATGAAGGAAATGAAAGGCATACTTTTATATGGAAAGCTGAGTTTTTGTGTCTGTTTGTCTGTATATATGTGCTAAATAAAAACTTTCATTTCTGATTCGCACCAAATTTCGCACACTCAAAGTCCAAGTTCATACGGATGTCATGGGCTACTTTTTACTATTATGTAATGGAAATAGGGGTTGGCACAAGGAATTAAGTTAGCTTGCTAATAACGAATACTATATTGATTTCAGTTGCCTTTATAAAATTTACTGCTTTTCTGCGAACCTCAAAGTGGGGCTCTGAGAGTTGACATGAAGGTATAATGAGCGTGCTATTGATGAAAACATAGCGGGCATAGGGAAATGGAATGTGATACTAAGACAGTGGAAGTTGTATAGAAAATGGTGCTCTTTTTCTAGTCTAGTCACAGAGAACGGCAAAGCTGGGTATGCCAGCTAGCAAGAATACTTTCATCTCATTAGTTTGTGATTGCTTTCGCTAAAGTGATCATCTAAGAAGTCTGGCAATTTGAGAATTGTGTTCAGTTATTGAAAGTCCCCGAAACGCTAATTTCTTACGTTCCATATGCGTCGAGAATTTTCCTGAAGGATGTATGATTCTTTCTGCATATGTGACGAAAGTGTTTAGAAAAAAAAAAGACCCGCGCATCAGCAAAATGCCATCAAATGAGAATTATGAGCGTGTCGGATGATTGTGATTTTGCTTGTTTATTTTGTAGACACTCACAATAAACAATTCAAAGAATGCGCAAAATTAGGCGAATGAAAAGCTCTTAAAGTATTCCAAGAAAGTAGTTTAGCACCTGGAAAGATTACACGTGAACTTAAAGGCATTGTCCAAGTCAACTTGGGGGCACTGGGATCTTGGCACAGTGTGAGAGCACGGCTCCTGACTAACGCAACAGTTCAAGTGCGATTGAAAAAGGTGGAATCTGAAGCGAGAAAATCGCTTCGGATGAGTTCAGAAAAAAAGGGGGCGGTACTGCAATCCCGCCCCCTTTTTTCTGAACTCGTCCGAAGCGATTTTCTCGCTTCAGATTCCACCTTTTTCAATCGCACTCGAACTGTTGCATTAGTCAGGAGCCGTGCTCTCACATTCTGTCAAGATCCCAGTACCCCCCAAGTTGACCTGGACAATGCCTTCAAGCATTTTAAGCATGTAACCGTACTCAAATATCACTTTCAAACTCGCCACTTCGGCTAATCGACGTTTCCTTGCATAGAAAATCAGTACTTATATAATGGCTAAGCCACTTTTCCTTTGCCCAAAAAGGGAAGGAGTAACGGAATCTGAGCTAAATTTTGCATACTTAGTGCATGGGGTGAGACATGTCTTAGGCCCGTATGCACGTACATCCCCGCGGGGTAGGGATGTGGGCTTAACCATTGAAATGATCCCCGCTGGGGCTTCCCTCCCTTCCCCACGCGAACCCCCGTATGCACAATACCGGGGAGGGGATCCCCTCGAAGTAGGGGAAGGGAACCCCCTTATGCAGAAGGGAGGATCGAGCGGGGAAATCATTTCGCTTCCGCTTTTTGTGGTAGTCACTCCTCTTTTCTCATCTTTTGGTAGCTACTCGCCTCCAGCATGTCATCTGCAATATTTTACTCGTTGCGGAATGCCATCGCCCATGACTGCGCTCGGCGCAGCAAAAAAAATTTCCTATGCACAATATATTTTTGCTGTTTTCAAGGATGTTGCTCACTTTCGCTAATGGGTTCGGCCAGACTGCGCGGCGTACGCGACGTACGCAGCGTACGCCGCGTACGCTCCTATGATGAAATATACCGAGCGTACGCTGCGTACGCCGCGTACGCCGCTTCCCCGCGAAGTCTGGCTCAACCCAATGCTGCACATTTCAGCGTAAAAGTGTCCAAAATTAGAAGTCATGATGTCTCTACAGTGAATGAGTAGAATATGTTATGCTGCCGGAAAGTAGTTGGGGGGGGGGGGGGGAGAGTGCCGCAGACATTCAAATTAGAATTTCCACACATAAAAGAAATTGCAAATCGTGCTAGCTTTTCATGGAAGCTGTAGCTATTAGCGACATGCCGTCCATTCCTCAGGGAATGATCCCCAGCGGCCACCCCTGCTATGCACGAGGGGAATGCTGGGGAAGGGATCACTCCCCGGGGGATCACTCAGAATTAGGCAAATCTGCTATTTTCTAGATTTTTTCAAGGCAGCTTATGTTAAATTAACAAGATAGGAGCAATAATACGATAGTTACAATGTATCTGATCAGCTTATCTGGCTAAAACTATTATGTCATTTGAAAAATGCACAAATTTCTTGAATCAAGAATTCCTACAAATATTCGAGAATGGCAGCTATTATTGCTTGGGTTTCTTTTCAAGAGGGGAATTTAGAAGAGAGACAAGATTGCAAGCTACAGATCGCTGAGAGGGGAATCCGGCTTTCAAAGGAAATCTTTCATCAAATTGAACGAATGCTTGGTAATAGTTGATTAAAACCAGAATATTCGCTTCTCTGGCATGATTTACACCATCGAACCCCTACTCCGTTGCAAGGGTTGTCGATCCCCTCCCCCGCGCCGTTGAGCTATATTCGTGCATACGGAGAGGGGAGGGGAAGGGATCCCCACCAGGGTCCGCCCGATCGATATCCCTGAAATTAAATACCGATTTTGTGGCACCGAAAGACTATCGCAAAGAAATGGCTAGCAAGCGTTTGAAAAAACATAGAAACTACAAAACTGCACACTCATGAATTCTTCTATGAGAAAAGTAAGCCATAACATAGTTGCGAGGAAACTGTTAAATAGAATCACACCACTTCAGAAATCAACATTATACTAGGACAGCACGTAACAAGTATAAGAAACTCTTAAAACCAGTAATAGGGAAAAGAAGAAGACAGCGATGGGGGGAGATACAATGGGAAGGTGAAAGGACAAAAAAAAAGAAGACTGAGAAAAGGAACAAAGGCACTCGAAATCACTATTCTTGTATTTCTCATCCCAAAAGCCATTTAGCACACAAAAAATGGCTGAAAATAGCTTCTTTGGCGAGATGTTCAGGTAGCCATGAGCTAGATGCGACTACGGCAATGACACCCTCCCCGCTGTGGGTGCAGGGGAGGGGATAGCTCCCTCTCCTATGGCATAGCGGGGTTCAATAAAGGGGATCGCTCCTCTGGGGATCCAGCTCCCCTCCCCTCCCCAGCGGGGATGTACGTGCATACGGGCCTTAAAGGCACCGTCCACCCTAAGTTGAGGGTGTTGAGCTTTTGGCAGCATATAATAGTAGGGCCCCCTATCAATCCAATGCCCACGTCGTGGCACAAAATGCCTCTTCGGAAGCGAGAAAATCGCCTCGGAATCGCGAAGATGCACGAGGACCCCCATCCATGCCCGCCCTCCCCATCCGTGCCCGCCCATTTGTGCGCGTCCATCCAATCACAGTTCCGGAAAGCCGGCCTGTGGGTTCTCTGAAACGGGGATTGTCGGGGTTTTCGAGCATTCTCGACTTCATATTCGGAATCAGGTACATGAGAAGGCTCTGAAACGGCAAGAAAGTGGAAGTCGAAAATCTGGGTGGACGGTGCCTCTAATAAGCCACGTTTTTAGGGACCCACCCATTGCTTTTATGGATTCATTGATTCGGGACACCCATTGCTTTCAACGATTTATCGATATTTTTGCTGTTTTTGCTTGAAAAATTCTTTATGTCCGCACCAAGGATAGGAGGATAGATGGCAGTAATAAGCCATATTCGGGACGCACAGGTTGCTTCTATCGATATATTGGTTATTTGGCAGTTTGCGTGATATCCATTGCTTAGAATGTTGATTCAAAACACAAAGCCGAAATTATGTCCTCGGTTTTTTTCTATCTGTGCAGGTTATAAATCAACGTAATTCGTGCAGAATGGCAGGTTTTCACGTCTCCGCATAATAGAGTGAAACGAAAGATTTACGAGGCAGCGAAGCTGCCGAGTACCAGCCCGAATCTGCCGCGTAGCGGTAGAGAGCCTCTTGTGTTTACATACTCGGAATATGTTTCATTAAAAGAATTCCAGGCCACTAGGAAGTTATATTTTATTAGAGCATTGAGAGAGTTTTGCTGCAACTTGGCAATCATTTCAAAGAGGCAGTCGCAGAAAAAATAAACCAAGTTTCTTTTTCGAAAATAATGATTATTAAAGCTCCTACATCTGAGGGAAGACGTCTTGTTTTCCCTTAAATCTTCATGCGCAAAGCTGCCCTTTGACGGTTTTGCTGAAAAAATTATGTCAAATTTTATAGTAAAAACATTGGTTGGCACGATATCAATAAAAACTATGGTAACTCAGAAAGCAGAGTCATTCCGGGACCTGCTTTTTTTGAAGAGTGTGAAAAAAGATCTTTACGACTGTAACATTCTATTATACAGTACTTCATTCACTTATAAAATCACCCAATACTTATCAATCTAAGGCTATTCTGCTTTTTCTCTCTCTTCTACATGTTTGGCTAAATTTCGTGCATCATAAAATCGACGATTTTTTCAGTTTACCAGTAGTGAGTCGAGTTAAAGACAGCGTCCGGGCAAAAACGAAAATGTAGAGTACAGGGGTTCTCGACCTGACGGAGCTCTTGCCGAAGTGGCATTGCACCAATTTGCTTCTGAAGCGAGAAAATCGCTTCAGAAGTGGAGACAGGACCACCCCGGCGACGTGCCCGCCCTCAATCGATAGCCAGAGTACGTATGTCGAGCGCGCGACTCTGCGTCTTAATCTCGGCGGCAAGCGTCATTATTCAAAATCAACTGATTCTGGAAAAGCCCTTTTTCGACATCTTCGTTATCTGCAAGCTGCATTTTCGGAGTCAACGGGAAGAATAAGGCCAGGTAAGCGAAAAAAAATTTTGTCCAGATTTTGCCCGGACGCTGCCTTTAAACACGTTTTGTACGTTGACGCCATACATGGCCTAATCTTATTTGCTCGCAGCAAATGTTCTCAGAAGAGCGTGCGTTATTGAAGTTGCAAGATTGGGCCAGACAATATTTGGAGATTGATATCAAAGAATCACATCTTAGCGAGTGCTGTCGTAGACTTCCTTCCTTCAGAACTCCCGCTGTTACTGACTGGGAGGATTGAGTGATTGATATCTAAAGCGGTCTTCTAAGAACAAAGTCTTTTTGAACAAAGAAAAGCGCATTTTTAATCGACTCACGTTTTTTGCTTCGGTAGGTGAAGGATGTTGAGTAGCACTTTCACGCGAATGCTGAAGTATATCGAATTAAATGCAATGGTTCGGCAAATTGACAATTTTGGGATATTCATCGCTCTCGGTTTCCCTGGATGAGCTAAGTCCAAGACTGTGCTTTGCAGCTTCAAAAGATATCAATAACCCACTTTTCCAGACGTGAAAAGTGCTATTTGGGCGGACCATGTATCCTGCTCTCTATAGCGCGATTGGCTTGTGACTGGAGACACCGTACCTACCGTACCCACGAGCCAATTGCGCTTTATAGGGCAGGCATACGCCGTCCGCCCAAATAGCACTTTCCACTTCTGGAAAAGCGGGTAATTGACATCTTTTGAAGCTGTAAAGCACAGTTTTGGACTTAGCTCATTCAGGGGAACCGAGAGCGATGAATATTCCAAAGCTGTCATTCTGCCCAGCCGCCGTCCTCAAGAATGGCCTAAAAGTTATGAAAGAAATACGATCATGTTATTAGGTTAGTAAGAAGGTTGGGATTGCAATTGAAAAAGGGTTGTTGCGATGTGAGACTAGCTGGTGCATGTTGCCACCGTTGGGTAGAGGGAAGAAGTTTCGACAAAAAAGTAAGCAAGAGCATCACCAACGTTTCCAATGAAAATGCAGGCGTAAATTCGAAAACATAGATTTTAGATCAATTCAGATTTCTTACTCCCTTTGTTATAACTCTTCCAAACGCTTCTACTTAAGCTACATACATGCGCTGACTGTTTGAATGTTGAATAACAAAAAACGGTTACTGAAAAGTAGCTAACTCCACTCTCATTGATCGACTTTTCTCACTTGTTCAAATATCTCTTACAAGGAAAGAATACTTGCTCAAAGTGGAGTTTATAAAAAGTATACTATCTTATAGAGCATAAAACGCTGTTTCCAAATCTGCTTTCTTTATAGGCAAAGCGCTTATGGAAGGAGAGTTGTGGAAAATTTCTGACAAGGAAAATACCATCAGTCGAAGTGGGGTTTCCCCACAATGCATATCATTCTGCTGGTGTTAGAGCACTAATGCCAGATCCATGTTCCTTAGCTGCTCAATAATCTTTTGAGAAAAGCTATGAGCGACGGTCCTTTACGATGACCACTGCACTTTATAAGTCTGAACCAAGGAATGTACAGCTGTGGACGGATGGGCGGATGAATAGCTGCTGAGACTATGGCGCAGGTGGTGAAGAGTGTCCCTATGGAGCCAACTTTGTATTTTTTCGAACTGTATTTTGTGAATTCGCAGACGATTTTCGAGCAAGACCCTCGTCGAAAATTGCCTGCGAATTCACAAATTACAGTTCGCAAAAATACAAAGTTTGGCATCATAGGAACGCGAACTCTTCACCACCTGCGCCATAGTCTCCGCAGCTATCCACCCGCCCATCCTTCCACACCTGTACATTCCAAACCTGTACATTCCTTGGCACCCCGAACTTATAATGTGCAGTGGTTTGTGAAGAACCGTCGCCATAACTTTGCTCAGAAGACCATTGAGCAGCTAAGGGACACGGATCTGGTACTAGTGCCCTAAGACCAGCAGAATGTTATGCATCACGTGTGGAACCCCACTTCGACTGAGGGTCCTTCCCTTGTGAGATAAATTCAGTGATTTGGTCAAGGTGAAAACAAGTGTTGAGATCTTTTCGCCACTTGAAATGAGTAATAAGTGATATGAGTTTATCAGATTGGAGATATTAGTTGCTTTAAGGCCCTCGTAAAATTCACGGCCCCATTGAGCTCGCCGATCAAAGTTCTGAATGATTTTATTATTGTCACGCTTTCGAATTTATGCATCAAAAAATTCTCATAAATCCGTCCACAAAGCGCTTTGTAGACGAGGAAAGCAGATTTAAATCAGCGTTTTATGCCCTATAAGATAGTATACATGTCGTATGAACACGCCACTTCGACCAAGTATTCTTCCCTTGTTAGCATATATACAGTCTGCCCCAATCCTAACCAGGCTAAAATCGGCATGGCGGGAGTCCGCGCCGCGAAGGTTTCGCGCCACATCTGCGGCTAGCTAGTCTGTTCTCTCCTCAATTTCTTCACTCTCTGCGACAGCGCGCGTATGCAACGCAATCCCCTAGCGCTGCGAGCGCGCAAATTCAGCCGATGGTTCGGCCTGATCCCGATTGGGGCAGACTGTAGGGCCTATCAACTGCAATGTCGGGTGCACCATCATCTGCACTCCCGCGCGGGACTCTGCACTTCTTCTGCGAACATGCTCTTTAATCATATCCAATCGATTGAAGCTCTGCCTTTCCCACGCTCGCGGTGAGAAAGTGATCAGAAATCATGTTCGCGAAAGGGGTGCGGAGTCCAGGCGAAGCGGCCGCGCCTAAGCGGAAATACTCTTACCCCCGACACTACAGCCGATAAACCCTTTATAAAGCTGGATGTCTGTTTGTTTGCCTGTCTGTCTGTCTTTCTGAATGTGTGGACGTATGTTCCGAAGAATTTCATTTCTGAATCGACCGGGACCAAACTTGGCGCACATACATTGCGGGGCAGGACGGATGTCCTGGGCTACTTCTCGTTATCGATCGAGATCTCTTAAACGATTTTTTTGATAAGTTTGAACTACGGGACTGGGAGTTGGTATTGGGGGTTACTGGGCATGCTGATTACGTATACAATACTACTTTTCAAAGTTATCGATTACTTCTATCGCATTTGTGGATTTTTTTTGCGAAGTTTGAGCTAGGGGGCTGGGAATTGGCACAGAGATAAGTGAGCGTGCTGATGACTAACACAGCCGGAATAGGGAATTGGCATGTAGAGATGAGCACAGGAAAAGGTCGCACAGGGATAGGAATGGGACGTTTAATGACATGGCCGCGCGCAGCCGGCTAATCCAGCTAGTTAGCTATATGTGTGCAAGTGTATAAATACATTAATCCATGCACGTGTCTTAGGACCTGAAAATAGCAAATTTGGCTTAAAGTGTCCAAAAGCTCTCTTATCACCATCTTATATAATAATGCACATCATGATGACCTTTTTTGCTTCATATTTGTATTACGGAAGTTTTCTGATTTATTAGGGGCAAGATATTAGTGCATCCTTGAAATGATTTTCAGTTAAAAAAAGTCCTTTACCCCACCAAACCGCAACCGAATGTAAGCGGAAAGAAGTAAAAAGCTTACGCTTTTCCGTTTGTGAACCTTCGGTTTCGATTTATGTGTGCGAATCAATATTTCCTGTAATGAACGAACTCATATCCGCTTATAACGAAAGATAGTGCACAATTAGCGCAGTGTATTTCACAAGTAGAGGAAGGTCAAAAGAATTTGTTAGAATATATCTAGCAGTTCGCGAATAAAAGAAAGCTAAGATCCTTGCAGAAAGGGGAGGAGGGAGGAGTGAAGAAAGGTAAATAAGTTACTTTCGCGAGACAGGTACTAGGTAATCGGCGCCGAATGTATTAACTGAAAGTGTGTTTAACATTCAGATCTGCAGTTATGTAGGTAATGTAATCAAAGTTGTGGAGAGAATTCCATCGGGGCGTTTCTAACTCAAAATTTCAAAAAGTAAACAACAGGCGATTGAAGGTGATGAAGAAGAACTACTTATCTAGTTTCGCTTACACAAGTAAAGAATTTCTTGTAGTGGCTTTTTCAAATGACTCTTAAACCAGTTTGAAGAGCATTGAATGAGAATTTCAAACCTGTTTTCATTATCTAGCGCCCTTCTCAGACAATTGCTGGGGGCAGGCGGGCACCGGAAAAATAGATGGCTGATTTCTCGCACCCCGCTCGCGGATTTTTTGGAAAGCAATCAGAATTTTTCGGAACGCCGCTTGCTGAGTTCTCGATTCCTCAGAGATTCAGCAATATATCTGCAAAAGATAAGAGCGAAAAAAGACTCAACAGCCGATAAAAATCCGCTGACTATTCTCCTGGAATTTGCGAGCGGAGTGCGAGATTTCAGCAACGCGTATTTTCCGGTCCCGCCTGCCCCCGGCGATTGTCTGAGTTGCTGCCGAAATAGAGCGTTGAAAGTTAATGCGCAACTGGAACAACTTCCAAAGCTCAGATGGTTCAGTCAGTGAATTTATCTCAATGAATACCTTCTTGATACACTCGTATTCAACAGTCCTCTATCTGTGCGTTGAAAAGACCGCTACTGCTACTTTGGTTCTGCGTTCATTTTTGGACTCACAAACATTCATAAATCAGCGTCCGGGGAGAAGGGGATTGGCATCTACTAATGAAGATTTGAAATCAGCGTTTAATGCTCTTCAGGGTGGTAGAAATTTATTTCGAAAGGCCACGCCTACTAAAAGCACTTCTTCTGTGAGTGCATCATGGCTTTCAGAGGCCGAACCTTCTTGATTTCTGAACCATCGCATTTAGAACTTACCACCTTTCCATCATCTTCGTCTTCATGGACAACCTGGAAAATTTTTTTACAATACAGCATAGTTTATAACCTCAAACCTGAGCCACCACATTTCCCGAAGAACTTTTCTCGCGACTGGCATGTTTCTTTTTGTGAGTTCTTCTCTGAAGTAATAGTTGTTGTTTGTTTCGTAAAGTCGAATGATTGGCGCATAATGAACTCTTACACTCATTCTTTCCTTCCCTGAATCCATTCTTCTGTGCTGAAAATAAAGATTTAGTGTTTATAAAGTGTTCTAGAAGCTACTGTAGTTTGCATAAAGTGCTTAGATAAGTTCCTAATTATTGCTGAGCTCCACCGGTACTTTAGGGAGCACACAACAGTGTGCAAGTGTGCAAGCCCCTCAAGGAGGAAAACTGTGGGCCAGCTGAAGGTTGCTGGCTAGCTTAGTTTCTAACGTTGGAGCCGCGCCTAATCTCTGCCGCAGGTTACCGCTTGAAAGGTTTGGATTCGGATCGTATCCGAGGCCCACAAGTGAGAAATCCCGGAGCAGAAAGCCTTTCGAGCGCGTTTCCAAACAAATTCTCAATTTTTTCCTTAATTCATGGACGCTTTGCTGCGTTGACTTCAAGTCTCTTTGGATTTCTCCAGACTACGCCGCCGCGCTGTAGTCGCAAGGGCTTAGCCCGACGTCAATGTTGCAGAGAGACGCATTTCTGATTTATACAGTTTTCGTTTATGTCTTGTTGAAGTATACGTTTATTTTGGTGCTAGCAATGTCCTTCATTTGCAGACTTGATCTTATATTCAACGTCGAGATAAGGGCCCGCAAGCGATATTATTAAGCAGAATTGTGGCAACTTGCATTCTTGAATTTGTGAATTCAAATCTCCTTATAATGCCCGGTGCCATCAATACAAACGAATAACGATGCAATTGACAAAAAGAAGCCAACTAATCGTCGCAATATCCTTCGACAACTAACTAAACCGCTGATATTGTTGCAAATACAGGTTGCAGAATCATCTCTCTTTACAGAAACAGAAAAAAATTGCTACACCACCTCCCACTTTTCATCGCTCCTAAATGTAAGAGCACTTTGATGAAATGAGAATGAAAACAGTGTCAGTGAGACCGTGTAGCTGCAGTGACACGCATAGGGCCGGACTCTGCAAGTGCAAAGCTTTCAGACAATTTCTTGCCGTTCCCCTAACCTCGCCCACCCAAGGTAAGAAACAGAAACACTTGAGAATAAATAGACAGTAAATTCAGCTTTGCATTTTCAGAATACTAGAGCCGCATGCAATGACATTTTTGCCGAAGAGGAATAGAAGCTTAGGCACCCGCCATACTTGATCCACTTAAAGGCAGTGTCCAAATCTGGGGCATGCTCAAACACTCCGCGGCTGCGCCGTGACCGTAACACTTAGGCTGGGTTCCAGCGCGAACGTAGTGTTAAAGTGCGCTAAGTCGTTTCCGGGTTACGGTCACGGCGCAATCGCGGGGTTTTTGTGGACGGATTTCTTATCCGTGAATGAACAATTTGCGCTGCTCCTTGAGCAGTGCCTTAGTTAAGACCCCCTCATCAATTCCCAGGCGAAAAACACATGCGCCCAAATTTGCTTGGACACTGTCCTTAATCCACTTGATCCGCTTCGCGCAAAACGCGCATCACCAACTTGTCATTTGGCGTCGCGTGCAGGTAATTTGCGTAACCACTCAGATAATCGCCGGGAGCAGGCTGCCATGCGATTTTTGGGCGAGCGGGCACCGGAAAAATCGTTCGCTGTTTTCTTGCGGTCCACTTTAAGAAATTTGGAGGAATGGCCAATTTTTAGACGAAAACTCGTAGAACCATCGCGGTTTTTCTACGGGTTAATTGCGGCGCAGTGGCCGCACTCTCGCGGACTTTCCGCGAGAATATGCAAAATTTTGAGGGCCGCACGGTCCTTTGTGAAGGACCGCGCAGCCCCTAGGTACCTTCCGCTGAGAGAAGGTACCTCAAACTCGGGTAATCAAACCACCGATGACACCTCTGCCACACTGAGCCTCACCTTTGCTCGGCGTACTCCCGAAACCGCGTAAAAAGAGTCCGAGCGCCTGCTGAAAGTTTGGCCAGCGCTCGCTAAAAGAGATTAATTGACTAGCGCTTGCAAAAAATTTTGTATTGCTACCCGCTGGCAGAAACACGGAAGTGACGCCCGGTGAAGACTTGGCCACGCCCCAAAATTTTGCTGACCGCTTGCAGAAAAGCGCGAGTTTGCGGACCGCCTGCTCCCGGCGATTATCTAAGCATACAGAATTCGTTTTGTACCTACGTGGCGCCATGACAAACTGCTGTGTGCGCACGTTTTGCGCGAAGCGGGTCAAGCGGATCAAGTGGATTAAGAGGATCAAGAAGACCAAGTATGGCAGATGCCTTTGAAGAAAGCTTCATCTCCTGAAGCTCTAGATATTTTTCCGCCGTATAACCTATCATCAGTATTCTCACCATCCTTCACTATGAACTTATTGAACAGGGGCAAGAAGCTGTACAAGCCGCACTTTCCAGCTTCTCTTGTGGTTCCCTGATAATCCCCGATGGCCGACTGCCTTTTCTTTATAGTCATTTTTCTTTCTTGCAAAGAATTCTGTTCGGTTAAGTTAAGCATGTTGCTGATAAGAACAAATGAGTTTTTGAAATACAAATTTTTCGATAAAACCCAACTTTTGACTTGTGCTTCATTGCAAAGTTCATGACACCGAAACATCATTTGTTCTTATCAACAACATGCTTAGCACTGCTGGGTTAGATAAGGTACAACTTTGAAATGTTATCGTTAACTTCGCAGAAACAAAAATGACTTCAAAGAAAAGACGGTCGGCAGCTAGGAATCATCAGGGGATCACACAAAAAGCTGGAATATGCAACTTGTACGGCTCCTCGCTCCTGTTCAATATGTTCACAATGAAGGATGGTGGGAATAATTGTGGATAGGTGAACAGCGTGAAATTCGGATATCTGTAGCTTCAGAAAAGCTTTCTTTCAAGCTGCAATCCCCTCCTCGGCGGGATGTCAATGCATGCTGCCCTAAGCTTTCTCGATCTCCTCCTATCGGAAATGTTAATATATACGGCTCTCAGACATTCGCGATTTTTTTGTCTTAAGGATGTTGCGCAAATTGGCGCAACATAAGCAACGGTTCGGGAGGTTGTTCTTCAAATCTTTCAAACTTTATGGACAGTATTTTTTAATCTGTCTGCTTCAAACCCTACCAGATCTTTTTATACTCACATCCTTGATCTTTCGGTCACGCAGGCAAGCCTTTGCTTCTGCTGATCTCTGGAGGTAATTTTGAGAAAAATATTATTGTTGGCTGTGTTAAGGTGCCGTTAGATGGGGACAGAAATCGTAATGCTAGTGGGAGGCTTCTTAATTAAATATGTAAGAAGCCGGAAAATTGCTTCGAAATTGCGTCATCATCAATCTCGCTATAAATATTGCTGCGGCACCTATAACAAAATTTTTGCCTTGAGTAGGGGCAGAAATTTATCGGGCGATTACTTCCCAACAATGAATTATATGGAAATTGCGCAAAAAACGGCATCCGTCGGCGAGTTGCTCAGCACATATTCAGCACATACGTTCTTTTCTGCTCTTTCTTCTCTTGTAGTTCTCTCTTTGTGTCCAGACAAGGTGAGTTCGTATTGTGTGTTCTTCTTGTGCCGTACAGGTTGGTAGGTGGTCCTTTATTAGTCAGTATCAACGGCCTTACGTTTCAACGCTTTCGTCTTCGTCAGAGGCCTGGAATGGTTCTGAGCTTCATCAGTGAGTCCAGCCCACCAAATGTCTCCTCTAGTTCTGTCAGTTTTCGGCCTTCACCCAATCTAGTTGCCACAAAAATTGCGAAAGCAAAGACATATCAGGGAACCACCGCTTCGTCATCAGATGTCCGTACCGGAAGGAGACGGTCGCGAATGAGTTATACTGCATTGGATGGTAAATGATCTACAGTCATAACTCGCATAATGATATAAACGGGAGAAAGTCAGCGGTTATTGTTCCGTTTAACACGAAAAGATGAGTTCGTTTGATTATAATGCAAATTAAGACCACAGACAGACAACTTTTGACCATGCGGTTAGCTTTGATTCTATGTCGCTATTTGTTTACTGTATTTGCCTGCCTCAATTTGATTATTTCTCACCATCTATGTTTTTTTGATATCGAAAACTGTTTTACCATTTAATGGCTACGAACCACTTGTTTTCCTTCCATCTGAGTAGAAAACATACAGCGCTCAAGAAACACGAAATGCTGTGGCTAATGGAAAGACAGTTAGCATAAATTGAGTCAGTGATTCAGTATATCAATATCTGGATGTAACTTGGCTGTCTTCGGCTGGATCACCAAGGCTCACACTAATGTATCGATATATATATATATAATAGTATAGTTTGAAAATATATCAAACTAGCTGGTGGCTCTCGTCTCACCCGAGACTTCAAGTTAGTCAAGCCAACAGAACTTGTAAACTTACGCTCTAGATCTCTTCTAACATGCGCATACAGCGCCTTCAGACTGATTGCCGCACCCTACCAACTTTAAGACTGAAATGGACTTTACCGCCCCTGCTTACATGCTTATATGTAAAAATGATCGGTTGCCATGATGGCTCTTCATTTTCTTAGGTTTGAGTAAACAAATCAATAAATCGATAGAATGGCCCAACGAATCGCCGCGGAAAGTAGCTCTAAACCACCGCCGGGGTTGAAAATATACGTGTGCGAAGTTTCAGCCGGATCGGTTCAGTGGCGCGCGTTTCTATAACGAACGAACAACTAAACGAACATCCTCACAAACATTGAGTTTTATATATATATATAGATTTCTCAATATATTATATCTTTATACTCCATGTTTTTGTGCTGTAACCATAAATCTACTCGGTGATTTATAGTCATTGAAGTATGGAATGTGTAATACTTCACACTTTGGAAAACGAGAACTGCTTTGTTTGGAACTTCTACTTCTAACATTTTGCTTACCGATGTGTCTGTAGCTGGCTTATACTTGTACCATTCTTTTGCTGAAGGGCTTGAACGGAAACACATGCTGCTCACGATTATTACTGGTCGTAATGATCGTCAGTCGTGGATTTGCGAAGAACTGTGCACGTCTGTACAATCCGTTTAACGGGGCCGGCGCCGCGTATTGCACAGTCACACACCTGCGCGCGAGCTCTACCGTGGGCTGCAGCGTGCAGGGACCATGCCGCGAAAACGGCGTGGTCCTTGTTTTAGCTACTCTTCTTGCTTCATTCTTAGCTTGTCCTCTGTCCTGCCTTCAAATTCCTGAGCTTTTGCTGAAGCTCTACTACGGTACTTCCTGAGATCTTTCAAAATATCAGCGCGAGAATGGAAGACCAAATGAAGGTCTGAGCTTCAAAAGAAGATGTAACCTAGATTATTTCATCTGAGAATTCTGAGAACGGTTGGTGCCTTCCTCCTTACAGCTAAAGGTGAATATGTGAGTGTCATCGTGTATCGTACAGATTGGGAAAACAGTTTGAGTGAACAGCGCGTTGGCACTGTTCACTCAAACTTATACTATATTTATTTATTTTCATTTATTTAATACGCACAAGGCGCGCCCATACAACAGAAGAACGAAGCATCACACCAAACAACCAACAAAAAAAAATTAAAAAAAAGGCAAACTCCCCACTGAATCAGTTCAAGTCCAGTCCGCAAAATCTTCCTGGGAATAGAAAGGGAGTGAGCTTGTTTAGAAAAGTATGAAGTCATCACAGGTATAGAGGTTCAATGGAGTCTATTTCACACCAGTTTGGATGCCTCGAACAGATCTGTTCATTTTCTACCGTAATGATCGCTCATAATCAATCAGGAATCAGGTACGGTGTCTCCAGTCACAAACCAATCGCGCTCTAGAGAGCAGGATACGCAGTCCGCCCAAATAGCACTTTGCACTTCTGGAAAAACGGGTTATTGACATCTTTTAATGCTGCAAAGCACAGTCTTAGACTTAGCTCCAGGGGAGCCGAGAACGATGAATATAAGAAATTTGTCATTCTGCCGAGCCGCTGCCTTCAAGTCCAAAAAACCGGAGAGTTTTTATCGATGCTTCGCCGGAATGCTGCTTTCAATACAATTACAACAACCCCTTTTGGGAACTGAATTCTGTTTTTCCCCGCAACCACACGGTCACACAATATAATTGCCACCTCAATTGAAACTGAGAAATAATCCCGCCTACAAAGCCTGATTATATATCCTAGTATAAAAGGAATAGACCTGTGCAATGATCATGTGTAGACAATAACATTAACAATATGAATGAAAGCAAACGTACTCCTATGCTGTCTTGTTCATTAAACGAATGGGAGCGAGGCTTTTTAGATCCTTTCAGGCTCTGAAAACGTTACTAGCTTTTTCGCTATGAGGTTATGCCTTACGGTTGAGAGTGAAGTCTTTTCCGGGATGTTCTTGTTTTTCGAGATGTCCTCCTGCAACTACTCAAAACATTTCTTTAACTCGCTAGCATCAAACATACCTCCGAGTTTTCCAAAATTACTGCAGCCTTCTGAAATTTATAATCGACTGATTATGCATTGAATTTGAAGGCTATAGTTGCGTAACCCAGAAATTTCCTATTTCCAACACTTACCACATTTTCCACTTCACTATGCCTGAAAAAATAGATCACCGCTGATTTATTTTATGAAGTACCCTACTAACTGTGTCTTGTCCTCAGTCATGAGCTTACGCTGAAAAGATTTCATTACAGAGGATAGCAGAAAATGTCGAAACGGCACACCGATGGTTGCAGCATACTGCGTCTAAAGAAACTTTATTTTAGTAAAGGCACTTCACACTTCAGAAACATACTGTGTCACTTCTACTTCTTTCTCAACATCGGCCTGAACAGAAACTATCAGTTGTAAATCTATGCATTGCGCTTCTCGACTCTTGCAGATGGATATGTCTTTTGAAGAGAACTTCAGAAAAAACTGTAGTAATAGCAATCTTTTCGTTAAAAGTTGAAACAGTGCTGCTAAACTTGATATGTTTAAGCTGATGAAGCCTCAGTTGAGACGTACCCAGTAATGTGACACCATTCTTTGCCTCTGTTTCGCAGAGGCGCATACTGCTGCCAATATCTAAGTCCTTCCCATTGCACATTTAAGTCATTTGATCAAGAATTTTTCTACGTAGGACTGGTGACTATGAATACATGAAACCCTCCATAGGAGGAACATAAACAAAGCGGGATCTACTGTTGGATTGTTTATGGCTCGGTAACTTTCTCCAAACAATTATTATAGTGCTTTACATCCTCATGCAATCTCTTCGTTGCATCCATGGAAACGCTTGAAAAAATAAACGCCTTGTGCAACTTTTGTGGTTGCCGCTTCTTTGAAGACGTTTCTTCTTACCGAATTGATGTCTCGTGCTTGCAAATTCAATGCTAAAGGTAACTGAAACATCTTAATACCCCAATTACGGATTCGATTTTGTGGGCCGAAAGCCAAGTGGAGCCACATGACATGCATTTTCCAAGGAATGCCTATCGGAACCGTTTGCTTCTGTGCATGCCTAACACGCTAGTGGCGTATGTTATGCAAATATTTGGTCCATGAGATTGTCTGCAACTTAAGGTATGGCGCTGGGAGGACCACCCGCCCTCATGGTGGTAGTCTCCGTTCATGCTGATTCAGAATTTCCAGAACAGAGCAGCAGAGAGCTCAGACTGTGCGGGACAGGGCTGGAACTGTGTTGCATGCGCTGCAGCTACCTCCTCGTTGAGCGGCGGGAGTTGTTTTTTGAGCATTTCTAACAGTTTCTCTTTCTATTTTTCTCATTTTGGCCTTATTCCTCTACCCTGCTTCCCCCTTTGATGATAGAACTCCGAACATGATGCGGGGTTAAAAATGAACTCTGTGCTACTTTGCGTATCCAAGAAGATATGTGTTCTTACCGTCCATTCTCTTCTCGTTTTGCTCACCAGAAAACCACTGCGCTGCTTTCACAATCGTTTCTTCGAGCTAGGACAAAAGAAAACATATCAATCTGCTAAAGATCCGAACTTTCCCTTCGGTTTCTTGTTGTGTTCTACTACGGGGCGTTTTCAGCTTTTCTCCTTTCTCCATTTGTTTGCTTACGCCTTTTTCTTTCCACCACGCTTCTCCTTTTGATGAGTAGAATTCCGAACCTGAGGCGGGATTGAGAATGAGCGGGCTCTGCTTCCATGTATCCGAAAATATGTGTCTTCCTGTGCAAGTTTACTCTCTTCGTTGATTTTATTCACACCTACTCATTGTTCTAGAAAGCTGCCTTTGCGCCTTTGAATGGGGATGAGGAACCAAGTAACGATTTCCTGCAGCACGTGAAATAGTTTTAAACAAAAAAACGACGAGAAAATAGACGAGCCGAAGACACATCTTGGATACATGGAAGCAGAATAGCGCTCATTCTCTAACCCCGCATCAAGATCGAGGCTCTTTTTTAACATCTCAAAAATATCGCATGCGGGCGGGGTGCATGACAGTTTCGGCAAGTTCCGGCACAGTTCGAGAACTGTGCTGGGACTTTTTCGGAACTTACGAATTAGTGTGAATCTAGACCATGTTGCAATTCGATGCGAATCGTTCAAGAGATACGATTTTAGGAACAGGATTTGAGACGAGCTGCTTGGATGTGCATACATCATCTGCTCTGTGCCTTGGGCAGTGCGTTATTGTTTTTGAATCATTTCCAAGTGAAGACTTGGAAACGTTGATGACACGACCACTTGACTTTTCCAGTGGCTGTATTCATCAACGAACCCTGAGCCTAGACGCTTCTCTCGACGATGAGCTTTACCTCCACGGTAGATTTTAACACAGCGATTGACCCGTATTCACGAACGGCTCATCAAGGTAAGTTTGGGGTTAAATTTTACCCTGACGCTTTGTACAATTCATCATAATGTGTCGAGCAAGAGGTGGCGCACAAGCGCCGGATACCCCCCTCTCCCCCACCCCTCCCCCCCCCCCCCCCCCCCAGCATTATCGTTTGCCTTCCGTAGGCATGACCTAAATGCTCCACCATGGTAATTAGACACACATTTGTAACTATCATTCAAATAACCACCATGGGCCAAGTTCTAGTAAATTCATTCTGAGGGTTCCCAAGATTGAACCACCCAAGCTCAGTGTCATTTTCAAACATTCTTAAATGTACCATTTGATTCAACTGGCTTGGCATCGGCAAAGGCGGGGCTTCGTGACCTAATTAAGGCTAGGTAATGATCAGAGAGCACTCGCGCGAGAGAGACGCAGGTGTGACGCGGGCGCGAGCAGCTTCAATTAGATCACAAAACTCCGCCCTAATGGTGCCAAGCCAGTATCAAAGCTTATTTCAAGGATGAAATAGCCAACTCTTTTCGTACTTTCAATACAAAGCATTGCTCACTGCTCACCCATACCATGAACCCTGCCTCAAATAACAAACAAACTGTGGAATTAGAAGCAGGTCAAAATTTCGTTTGCCCCACTTTTCGCTTTCAGTGGCTGCGCTTTCACCAGCTTATGAGAACTATGAGAACTACAAGGCTCAGGCTATCAATATATATTATGTTCGCTACATTCTTTTTGGAGGTAACTTAACGGCGTGTGGCACAACCCCAGAAAAGCTGTGGCTGCCACAGCTTTCTGGGGTTGTGCCACACCCCATTAACTTGCCTTCAAAGCATTCAAATCTCCATCGTTTTTGTATGGTTGCTGCTGCTAAACTTTCTTCTCTACAAAGCAAGAATTTCACTCAAAATTGTTTCCTTAAGGGAGAAAAATATAGTCGTTTGCTGCAAAAATATTGGGTTACGGTAATATGCTAAGTCTGCGCTACTGCGTGAATCGCGAGGGAAGGCGGAAAGAACAAGTATATTCGATAGCCTGATCCTGGTACGTTTACAAAAGTGATTTGAGAGTGATTGGTCTTCTCTAGTCTGAGAAATTGAAAACGAAAAATGGGACAATCAAGATCCTGGTTTGCTCATAATTTCGGAATTTGGAGGTTAGTTGAAGTGGGATTCATAATGCGACCAAAGAAGTAGTGGTATCTTGTGATGAATGCAAAAAGAAGTAGTTTACTCACTTTTGGAACAAAGTTAGCATGTTTGAAAATGACCACCTCGCTTGAGTGTCCCAGTATTTGGAAGCCCCAAAATTGGCTGGAACCAGGCCTACAGGGGTTAATCAATTGCTAATTACGAAAATAAAATGATGCTCTTATGCGTTTGGAATTCTTTTATATTACTGTACGTGTAGGACGGTAGACCAAAACACCAGTGCTAGAATGTGGCGTGCCACACCCCGCGCTTGACCCTGATGATATGGATTTCGATGCACCACTCAGTCTTAGCGAAACTTTTTGACAACAAACACATATTTGTAATTGTTATTACCTCAAATTCCCTTTAGCCCCTTTGTCTCGCCTAGTTATATTATACAACGGACAAAATTTTCTTAGTAATTTGTTGGTCAGCTTTGAGTGATTCAGTTGAGCTACTATAACTCGATCATGTATCAAGTCAATAACTGGAAAAGTACGCTGATGTTAACATTTGAGTGGGGAGCTCCATAATACGAAGATCTCTCTGAGTTGCTGAGCTTGATGTTCGCCAAATCAAAGCTTTTAGTTGAATATGTACTTTATCTGAAACTAAGTTTTTTTCAATCATAGCAACACGACTGAATACAATCATAACTTATAATCACAGGCTAAGGGCTGTTTACGTTCGTAGAGCGAGTTCTAGCAAAGATAATGAACTAGAATTGCTTTCAAATAGCAGTGGCGGACCGAGGGGGGGGGGCGAGAATGGGTCGCGAAAATTTACTTACGTGGGTTACAAAAACGTGCAAGTGACTTGCTTATTCTTGTGAACAATTAAAATGATTTTTAAAAGTTTTTAAAAGTTCAAATTAGCTGGCCATGCCCCCTTTTTCCAGATTTTAGGGGTTGGGAACCCGCAAAAATTTTGAGAAGCACCCCAAAAAATTTTTCGGAGCGCGTGGCTAAGGCCATGCACCTTCATGTGAAAAAAATCTTTGCCGCCCCCCCCCCGGTCCGAAATCCTGGGACCGCCAGTGGCATGTAGGTATAATGAAGCTCAAGCCGATTCGATAAGTAGAACCTTTGAAAACTGTGCGCCAAACGGGTCCATGCAGCTTTTGACCTGCTAAAGTTGGTTGCTAGATAGACTTTTTGCAAAGCTGTGGATTTGTGTAGCAAGTATATCCGCAAACCATAGACAAAGTAGGCAAAAAATCTTCTTTCACTCAAGATCGGCGCCAAAAAGTATCAATTGCGTAGGTAGTCGATTTGTCAAGCTTTTACCTAAGAATTTGAGAAGATTTTTGCTTAGAGATGTAAACCACGGTGTCGTCATTCTTATGGCGAAAATTGAGCCATAATGATTCCAGCAACTGAATCAAATCTCGCATGTAGTATTCAAGGAGACTTCTTCCTCTCAAAATCACCAATCTTACGGCAAAAATTTTGGAATAAGTAGATGTTTGCAATCTATTCGTGATGATCGGCATCGCGCGGTGAGTTCGAAAGTCACTATTATGCGATCGAGGAAGGCACGTGGATAGTAGAACCAGTGCACCACCTTTGCTTCGTAGAGGTGATGCACTGGTGATAGATATGTTAACATCAAAGAAGAAAAGGAATTTTTAAATGACAGTAACTATAAATATGTGCGTGTTGTCAAAACAGCGGGATTGAGTGGTGTGCACCGAGAAATCACTTTATTTTTGTACGAAGTGTCAGGATGAATTCAACCATGCTCTATGCTAGCGTTAAACTATCTCGATGCACCTTCTTGAATACGAGTTATCGCTTTCTAAGATTTAATCTAACATCAAAGACGAAAAGAGACCATAGGAATTTTGAGATGTAACTATAAATATGTGTTTGTTGCCAAAACGATGCTAGGTTTGAGTGGTATGCATGAGAGATCACTTTATTTTTGTACGAAGTGTCAGGATGAATTTAACCATGCTCCATGCTAGGGCTAAACTATCTCGATGAGCCAGGCTCGTGAATACTCGCTTTTTGGGGTTTTACCCTCAAGGTTGATTTTACCCTTGAAGGCAGTGTCCGGGCAAGATGGGGGTTTTGAGATTTCTCTGCCATGT